TATATATATATATATATATATATATATATATATATATATATATATAAAATGCTGCAAAAACTAAATTAATACAAAAAAATGAATTGTATTTTTTCGCTTTATAATCACCTAATGCTTATTTGCCACCCGCTGCCATGCCTCCAACTGACTGTCGACAGGAAACTAGAAACTATCATCATAAAATGGTACAGTAGTACAGATAGCTAGACCACGAGGGGGCGGGCTAAAGATGTCCGATGTCCGCCGAGAGGTCCAGTGACTGGTCATGCGGCTCGCTGTCAGGAATAATGGTTGTACGGAGGGAGAGGGTGCCCGATGCCATTCTGATAGTGATGATGCTGGCGGTGGGCGATGTATTCTGCGTAGCTCATGGTCATCTTTTCACTACGGTACCTAAAACAACGGTGAAAAAAGGGGTAAGCATCAGAACAGTGAAAGACGCTTGAAATAATGTGCACAACAGATCGGTGAATAACTAAAACTGTACAAATTCAATCATATCATCTCAGAAGACTTGTAATATAGCGTACAAGTTAGAAGAACTACTGGCGCGTTGTCATTTTTGGAGCACAACAGCATCGACCACTATAAAGTTCTGTTGAAGGGAAAATATCAATTCATATCTTGCTACATTTTCCATTTTGTGTTTTATAGAATAAGTCAAAGAAACTAAGAATTTTTATTGATTTATTTAGGGTCACACTTTAGTTTGGGATTAATTCTCACTATTAACTCTGATGTTTGTGCCTTGTGCCATTGGACGCCACTACTAAAAGATTAATCTACTAATAAATAGCCTGTGAAAAAAATAAATAAAAAATTGTTCAGAAAAGGAAATTCTCTCACCTGGTCAGTTTAATAGTCTTCCTGAAGTCATTTGTGATAGGAGCTTTGTAACCTCCCTTTCGAAGTAAGGAATCTATGGTCTGAATGTGGTCCCATCCTATCAAGACAAAACAAATTCAATCACGTTCTTTCATACTGATTATTACTTTTTGGTCTGCATCTCGTTTCTGCTGTTACAATGTAATTCAAGACATCACAAACAGAAATCAGGCAAGTGTATTTTATACTCACCTTGCTCCTTCGCAACCTCTGGCAGGTAGGTGGCGGTGCGCTTTGATCCTTTTTCATTAAAAAATTCTATCCTAATTCCGTGAACACCCACCTAGGAAATAAAGACATCTTGAAAAACCATATATATTTTTTCCATACTTGACCTATGTGTAATTGACAAATACTGTTACTTTGGTGCTGAAAATGACATAAAAATTGTAAGAATAGGTTGTTGAAAGAGGAAAAATTTCATCTGTGCATCTGCAATCAGTTCCGCTCCCGCTCTCTTTAAAAGGGACAGGAAGAGACAGACATACTGACAAATGAAATATGAAACCAAATAAACAATTATACATCATAGATGCCTGCCTGTAGTCCAAATTCAAAATATTGGAGAGAGTCGTTTCTCCCGCCCCCTCCTCCTCAGAGTAGACACTCACATGGGTTGCCAGATTGAGGACTCGCAACAGGAACAACCACATGTATAGCTTTTCACTGTAAGTTGATTTATCCATGTTTTAATACGCCTCTGGTCACAGAGCTTTTTAGTTGGATGCCGTGGCTTTTTAGGTTGGGTAGAATCTGCGATCTCTGACCCAGTTTGTTTTGTTGGCTTCCATGGCTGCAAAAAGCTGTTTTTACGCCAACTGGCAACCTGTGGTGTCAGAATACTATTGGGTGCATTGGCAGTGGGCGGAGTCACACAGATCAAAACAAAAACATTGCATGTCCTTCAAGTGGGTTTGTCAAATGCCATTAAAAGGAAAAGAAGCTGCTCAAATGGGCGTGATGCTGAAGAACTAATGAGGTCTGTTCTAGTACATTTACAATATTTGATACGCTATTTTGCTACAATGTACTTGCATTGTTATGCACAAAATTCAATAATGAATTCAAAAGTAGTGTATTGTGCACTTTTTTCCATTTAAAAGTACTGCTATATGAACAAAAGTGCAATAGCATTTGGTTTGCAAACACTTTAAACAAATAATGTGCTTTTTTTTTACAGCAGTATTCCTTTTACATAGTAGCATTTAAAATATTTCTTGTAAATCTCAACTTATAACATTAATGTAATCAAATTAAATGTAAATCCATAGCTATTTGCCACTGTCCATAGCTATTTGCCCCTGCCAGGGCATTAACGTTTTTATAGAAAATATTTTATAGTTTGTTATGAAAAAAAAAAAAAAAGTTATGCTCAGAGTCCAGAGCCTCGATCATAACATTGTAACAGGCTCCTTCCGAGTAGAGACCTGCACTATCGCGGGACCTAACGTAGCAGAGTGCGGCGCGGGACAACACCTGATGGGTGAGGTCGAGTGCGGGTGGGTAGAGACTCGTGTGTGCGGGATGCTGGAGAATAAGGGTGTATCGCACTAGGCAATCTTTTTTTTAAGATTTATTTTTGGTAGTGTATTGTGCACTTTTTTCATTTAAAAGTACTGCTATATGAACAAAAGTGCAATAGCATTTGGTTTGCAAACACTTTAAACAAATAATGTGCTTTTTTTTTACAGCAGTATTCCTTTTACATAGTAGCATTTAAAATATTTCTTGTAAATCTCAACTTATAACATTAATGTAATCAAATTAAATGTAAATCCATAGCTATTTGCCACTATATATATATATATATATATATATATATATAAACCTGATGTCTTATTCAGATAGAAATTGGAATATTAGATTAATCTGGTTATGCCAATCAGGTTAAAGGGCTAGTTCACCCAAAATTCATTAATTCATTAAGTCATTAATTACTCACCCTCATGTCGTTTCAAACCCGTAAGACCTTCGTTCACCATCAGAACACAAATTAAGATATTTTTGATGGAATCTGAGAGCTGTCTGACCCTAACCGTAATTTTACAAAGCTACGAGAATACTTTTTATGTGCAAAAGAAAAAAAAAAAAGAACGACTTTCTT